GTGGGCCCCTGTCGCACAGCACATATATATATAGAGAAGTGAGGATCTAGGCTCGGGTAACGAGGTTGACTGGAGCCGCCACACCCACCTAAAGAAAACCCTAATCCGATCCTAAAGAGTGCTGTCAGCGACGGGATGTGCCCCACCACCGCCGTCGCTCCCCCTGCAGGTCTACACCGACCCCTCTGGACCACCACTGTACCTCGCCACCGAGCCAGAGCTGCCTCGACACCGGTGTCCGCGAGGTCACGACGCTATTGTCCAGGGCGGATCTACGAGTTACACACAGAGGTACCAATCGTACGATCCTAAAAATGGTATCAGAGCCAGGTTACAAGTGTGTAACCCTAACCCTAACCGGGTAAAAGCAAAGAAAAGAGTGACCGGGGTGGCGGACATCACGGTCTACCGGTCATCACCGCCACCGCGCGTGGGGGAAAGAAGCCGCACCGTTCGACGGCGCACGGCAAAAGTAAAGAACCAAACAGATCCAGTTCGGATCTAAGGAAAGATGAAGAGTGGGTTCGGATTTGGCCAAACCCTAAGACCTAACCCTAATTTTAACCTCAATCCCAAATCGGGTTAATCCCAAAAGAAGAAGGGGAAGAGGAAAGAATCCGGGTTCACACGAACCCTAACCCTAGATCCATTCGGATGAAGTCCGAAAAGAAAAAAAAAGAAATATCACAAAGACAAATCAGAAAAGATGACAGGTCGGACTCCGAACCCTAGATCTATAACCAGTTCGGAAAAGAGGAACGAGATTCAAATCCGAAAGGGGAAGGGGAAAAGAACAGGGTCGGCACACGAACCCTAACCCTAGACCTAAACCCTAATCCCCACCTATCAGATTCGGATAAGAGAAAAAGGAGATCCAAATCCGAAGGGGGGAGGGGTGGACCTACCTCACCGGCCTTTCGCCGGCGCGGGAGAAGAAAGGCCGAACCGGGACAGCTGCTCGCCGGGCTCGGCAAAGGGGGCACCATGGCCAGGCCGCTCGACGGCGGCGTGCTCACCCGTTGGGGAGCACGCGCGCTGGCGAGGGGGCCGGCGACATCGCCATGGCTGCCTCGCTCCACCGTCCGCTCTTTTCGCTTTGCTAAATCGCTCGGTTCTTGTTGCTGCTACCGAGAGAGAAAAAGAGAGAGAGGCGATGAGAGAGAGAGCACCGGGAAGAATGAAGCTAGGGTTTTTCCCCGGGCGCGCGGCGTCGGGGTTTTTAACCGAGCGAAATCGACGCTTGGGCGTCCGATGCTGGATGAACGGCCAAGATTAAATGGGCCAACTCGCGGCCCAGGCGGGCGCGCGCGGCCGAATCACTTTGCCGGCCCAGGCCCAGGTTGCGGCCTGGGTGAGGTCGGGTGCCACGCAGCTGTGTGGGCCGAGCCGGCTTTTGCCAGTCTTGGGCCGAAATAGTGAAGAAGGAGCCCGTTTTCGATTTTTTTCTTTTTCTAGAAAATTTTAAAAAAATGGAAATTGGCTCAAAAGAAAATATAGAAAAAGTAATTTTTCCCTGTGGGTAAAATTCAAGAAATTGATTGAAAGTTTTTTCTGCTGCTAAAGAAAAAGTACATTCTCCAGTGTTTTGAACCGACGTGATATTTAACTGGAGAAAAAGAAAGTTTTTCCAGTAAATGTTTATTTCCTGGAAAATGATTAATGGATTAAAGAAAATAGAAAAAACAATAGGCCCAACGGCCTATTGGGTCCTTGCCTCTGCTCTTTGATCGGGGGAGCCCAACCCTAACTGGTTGGTGGGCCCCTGTCGCACAACACATATATATAGAGAAGTGGGGATCTAGGCTCGGGTAACGAGGTTGACTGGAGCCGCCACACCCACCTAAAGAAAACCCTAATCCGATACTAAAGAGTGCTGCCAACGACGGGATGTGCCCCACCCCCGCCGTCGCTCCCCCTGCAGGTATACACCGGCCCCTCTGGACCACCACTGTACCTCACCACCGAGCCGGAGCTGCCTCGACACCGGTGTTCGCGAGGTCACGACGCTATTGTCCAGGACGGATCTACGGGTTGCACATAAAGGTACCAATCCTACGATCCTAACAACTCCACCTCCACCTCGATCGGGTATGCAGGTCCAGCCATACCATCCCGTTATTTGGTTTATGTTTACTGCTCTCCATCAAATTCCACCGAACAAGTCACTTCCTACTGCTATTACTCATCGGTTATCAGATTGCTTTTGCCTTCCTACAATCTCTACCATTATGCATGTAGTAATTACTTAAAACAGCTACAATCAATAGGCACCACCGTCTCCCTGAATCCCTTCTTTATCTTCTATATATATACCTGCTTTGGTCCTACGGCTTCCCCAGTCCACTCAACTTCTTTGTTAAATGGCCCCACCTGCAGTACAAGCGAACCAGCTGCAATTTGCTTTACGAAAGGTAATCAGACAATTCTCCGAGTCCGTGATGAGGCCATGCGCTACCCAATGCCTCCGTACGTCCATTCCACAAGCATCGTCTCCCAACAATAATAGTTGTATTATTTCCCTCCTTTTTGTTCGAGCAGATCGAGTACGATTGAGTCAAATAACATACTCGCAAGTTTTCTACCCAACACTTTTTTTCTCTAATCCTTATTTGTTTGTTCACAGATTTTCACGAAACTCCAGTTCTCTCAGTGTAACAAGTCTTAATGTTGTAATCTTTGGTCTGTGTCATAGGCCACGCTATATGCTCCAAAATTTATGTAATCTGTACTGCTTTTTCCTCAGGAATTTATTTACTCAATCACATGGATTTGTTTATCTGATCACATGCTTTTGTTTTTTACGCTTGGGTATTTCATAGGATTAAGGATTAGTTTACCTCATACCTATATGCAATATATATAGTTATATACTGCTATGTTGTATCTCTCTTTTTTCTACTAAAGCCACCTGTATACGCTACCTAAGCTCATAGCTTATTATAGGTATGCCCATTAGGCTGCATTTGGTCACCGATCATCTACAAATTAAATCGTGGATTTCATATATCACCAATATCTCATTAGTATAGTTTCTCCATTAAGTACCTAATATATATTCTTGGTCCTTGAGAGTTGAGACCCGTAAGGTTTGTGCATACGCAATTCCCACTAAAAAAAGTCACATTGCGTTCATTCATCAAATGGTCACCTAAACTAACCTTAAATTCCCGCGGCAACGCGGGCGCGGAATTCATCTAGTTCTAAAGAATCTTAAAAGAATTTCATTGGAACAAACCAATGTACATGTTGTTCAGATCATTAATGGAGCACAAAATCCTTCGTGGCGTCCTCAGTCTCGGCAGCAGACTGAAACCAGCAACAAATGTCACCACTGAAGAAATAGGCGATGTGACACTCTAGGTTTCAGGCGTACAGCACACAATTTCTGATAATTACCTTGGATTTTGCTAATCACTTTGTCACATCCATGTATGGCGAGCAACGAGATCAAATCACCGACATGAATAGAAACAGATGAATATATAGAGGATCTCAGATGACAGGAGGAGCACTAGCTCCTTCCTCGTTTTTGAATTATATTTTGTTTGATGCTCTCTCCTCTCCTGCCTGATTCCTTTATAACTCCTCTTTCCCAAAGGCTGGTCCCACATGTCAGTCTAGTTCCAAAGAAGTTGGCCCACATGGCAGTTGATCCCAGGGCAATGTAGGAGTATATTTTTTTTTTGAAGGAAAACAGGAGGGGTGCCCCCCTACTTTGCTTTTATTGAAAAAAAAAAACAGAGGCTGTTCTTACATAGGGGGTTCAGGAAACAAAGAAGTTACAAAGAAAATCTGTAAAATTACACATATGCATCTAGCCATTGGGAAAACATAGGTGCTAAGCTGCTCTTTGCTTGAAGAATAACTTGAGCAATGTAGGAGTATATGACATCACTCTGCTATGGAAAATGGCACTAACCAAGTGGGCTAGTTGGGTATCAAAATAATGTAAGCTAAATTTTAGTTGCTAAGTTTCCTTGGAAAATTTCATTCGATCTGTTAGCTGAAATGCTGAATCTTCAACACCGTATTCAACTGGACAGGGCACAACCAGAGTGCTACAGTTTGCTACTTATCCTATACAGTATGAACCATATAAAAAACACATAAGGATATACCTACAAAATTCCATTAGGATACGTGACACTACTCTCTCGCCAACAGCTGTCCCCCTGTGCCTGTCCCTTCAATTATTGCGTCGTCGCAGAAAGAAACTATACAACCGCCAGCCAATTACCCAAAAATCGTGTTTACGAAGAATCGATGTGGTAGCTAGATAAACTACTGCAGTACTACTCTGTTGTGCTTACTGGACATGAAGATGTGATTCGATAGATAAAAATAAAAACATCTTGCTTCCAAATTTGAAAATGGATAAAAATCAGATAAGAGTTAACTAGATTGTTCAAGTTCATGGGTTGCTATCATCAAAGCTCAAACCCGGCCAGCTCCACGGATAAGCATAAGTGTCCCAGCTCCACGGATAAGCATAAGTGTTCTTTTGTTACTGGTCAGAAACTATTAACAAAGTGGCCGGTTTTGGTTGTGGCTCATATGCTCACACGATGTTGTTTGCCTCCGTACGTCTCAGTCCCACATGGGAACACCCGTTTTCTTTTAGGCCCGTGGATCACAAGGCACATCACTTCCGGTTTGACGATGCAATCCCTTGTTCAGGAAGCGTTCTGAAGAACCATCGTACAAGCGCCACATAACCGAGCACCAACTGATTTCAGATTTTCATTTGGTGTGAGAATAAATTGACTTGAGATTGATCACTCTAAAAGCATAACTTCAGTAACAAATCTTCCGAGAGAGAATAATTGTTTGCATCCAATAAATTATATAAAAGCATTTAAATAAACAAAGAACACAAATTTAAGCACATTTTATCTTATTTATCTATGGACAAGAGCGCGAACGGATCGAGAACTGAAGAACATCGATCTGCAATCCAGTAACCAAGAAGCAAGAGGAGGAGCAGCTCACAGTGACCCTAGCTAGTAGCTGGACGGCGGCACTGGCGTGTACCATCTCCCGGCCTCGTCGTCGATGCTGTCGGCGGGGCGGTGCAGCAGTGCGTGGAGCAGGACGAGCAGGAGCCCGACGAGCAGCGAGGTGAGGATGAATCCCGTGGCGCCCGTGAGCAGCAGCAGGACGAGCGTGGTCGCGGAGAGGACCGCGATGACCACACCGTCCCCGACGCCGCGCCCGCAGACCACGAGCGCCCCGTCCGCGTCGCGGTCGCGGAGGAAGTAGAGCACGAGCCAGGCCGCGAAGCAGGCGAGGAAGACGAGCATCGAGACCGGCCGCCAGAGGAGGGAGACGAAGACGACGAGCAGGACGACGAGCGCGTAGTTGGCGGCGAAGTGCGCGAGGTTGGCGCGCGCGCGGCGGTACGCGGCCGAGAACCCGCGCGGCACGGAGAGCGCGCGCGGGTCCGCGAGCTCGCGCCAGGGGCGGCGCGTGGCGAGCGCGGACGCGCCGCGGGCCTTGGCGCGGGAGATGAAGTCGACCGGGGAGGAGGAGGAGGAGGTGGAGCCACCGGGTGGCGGAGTGGAGGAGGTGGTCGGGATGGTTCCGTACTTGGACATGCCTGGCTGGGGGCGGTCGTGGACGGTGGTCGGCGCCGGCGAAGTCGCCGAAGTGGTCAGGATGCTATGCGATGTGACGAGGTGGGGTGGGGTGAGGTTGAAGTGAAGGTATCCAAAATTATGGAGAAGCGTGTGGGATTTTAGCCGAGGAGGATGGGTTTCTTTGTGTGGATTTTGTTCTGGCTAAGCACACTAGCCCAAATTATGCCAACTCTCACCTTGGCAACTCCACAAAACACAGCTGTTCGGGAGGCCGTATCGTATCGTGGATTATTTACTGTTGGCTGGTTTGATGTGAGAGAAAAACACTGTTTCCGACTAGAAATTTACGATCGTTTACGAGCAAGCGAACAGGCACGCTCTGTTGGGCTGGTCAATCTGCAACTCCAACCTATCATCGACAGATAGCTATGTCGGTTACAGAAGAAAACAGCCATGTCGGTTACACAAGAAAACGGTAGTGCTCCTTTCGGTTGTCCGTCAGTCCGGACAGACCACGCCGGCTTGTGGAATGGACCTTGCCTGCGCCGCCTCTGTCCAAATCGCCCGCTCGCTCTGCGGCGTCTATAGGCTGTGTGTCCCTGCTCGCAGGACAGATCCCATCCTCCCCGTGCCGCCCTCACTCACTCCACGCGCCCCCGCTACGCCCCTGCTGACGGGACAGATCTCACCCTCCCCCGCCTGTACTCACGCCCCCTGTTGCGGCCACGCTCCATCCGACTGCCACGCCCTGATATGAAGTGACTACGGGCAGATGGATTAGCAGAGAGACTCTGAATAGCCGTACTTCCTCGGGGACTATCTTAGGATTTCTTCTTGATTACAATCGTTATCGGGTTCTCTCTTTTATAGAGATGACTAACTTGACCCATAAGGAAATATCCTAACCGAATCAATCTAACATATCTCTTTCATAACAAACCAAACCAATCCAATTTAATTTGCATGGTACTGTTCACGCGCTCCATTACCGCGTGGCCCCCTAGGGCTAGCTCCACTTTACCTAACACGGCCCTTGCCGAGGTCCGTGACGCCGACGAGCTTCACACCGGCTACCTCCGCGCCACTCCGTAGCATCAAGCTCCACGCTGACGTCGAGCTTCGTGTCACCGAGCCTCCATTTTCATCCAAGCAGCAAGTAGATATTGCGCTTGAAAGCGCATGTTGCAGGCGTCTGTTTCAAGTGTTTCAGATATTTCAAAGCTATATTGCAAGTGTTTCATATGGATGTTGCAAAAGTAAATTGAGATGGTGCAATGGTTGTACACATGTTGCACGCTTTTGTTCTCAATGTTTCATCTGTTTTTTCATACGTATGTTGCAGATGTGTTTATCTGGAACTTGCATATGTTTCACACATATATTTGCACGTGTTTTATCTAGATATGAAAATGTTTTTTAATGGTTACAGGTGTTTTTCATGTGTTTTTGTAAATGTTTCAGATGTATGTTTCAGGTGTTTCATCAGCCTTCAGACGTATGTTACAAGTGTTGCATCTGAATGTTTTCAAAAAAGTAGATCGCGTGTTGCATCTCCCTCCTTGCCTTCTGCTGCCTCGCCTAAGTGTCTCCTCCACCTCCTGGCGTCGGCTAGGCATCCGCCGCCTCCTCCCTCTCTTCTCGATGCTGGTGATGTTCTACTACTGGAAACTCGAATACTTGTGTGTGTGCAAAAACCCATCAAAAATGCGAGTATCGACAGAAAAAATATTTTTCTTACGATGTACCCTCAGAAAATTACCTACAAAAATAGAATGACAGAAAAATCGATTTTTTTGTCGGTTCGTCGTAAGAAACAATTTTTCTATCGGTCTTACACGCATAGAAAAATTGTGTTCGGTCAAATTAAAAATAAAATTTATGTGCATTTTTCCTCACAGGAAAAAAGAAAACCCCGACAGAAAATCATTTTTCTGTTTGTCCCGTCAGAGTTGCAGAGGTGCACTCACAGGAAAACATTGTATTTTTCTGTCGGGTTAGGTGAACGCACAGAAAAAATTGTTTTTTTCTATCAGTTGTTAACATACCCCGGAAAGAATAATATACACTTATCCATGCAGCAAATTGGATACAATAATTATTTGAAAACAGTAGCAACAACATATTAAAATATGGACTGTCCATACAGTAATTTCATCACAACATATAAAGATGGAGTCCAAATGTTCAGCACATTTATTCATAGCATCTAGGTTATATGTAGATGATGTTCAAATCTTTCGGCATCAATACATTCAAAAACATTACCATCTCATCTCACCAGTTCTATGAATTTGACTACTGATAACTACTGCACTACTACGCTGACAACCAGATCGATGTTGCTACCATTGAAAATGAGCAGCTCTTAGCTCTTTCATTGCTGCTCCTATCGATCTGTAAATAAAGCACAGTAAGTAAGATAATTAGCCTATTCGCTTGTTGATTTCAGTCAGGACTTATTAGCCAGCTAATAATATTTTCCTCTTACAACAAACCAGCACCAGCCGGGCTTATCAGCCTAGAAACCAACTAGCAAACAGACCGAATATCAACTTTGCATACATCAGATAGTAAGCACAACTTTGTTCCAGGTAGTAACTTGGCAGCTAACTTCCAGATGTCAAACTACAAACCTTCCTAAATTTCAGATGTCAAACTGCAAACCTTCCTAAACTCCTAAGATAGAAAGCAAAAAATTGGACTCCTGACTATATAGACAAACATATAGAATGTTCCACAAAATCTTAGGAACCTTCAGCTAATTACAAAATCGTTGCTCCTTACTGTATATGTTCCACAAATTCTGAATAAATGGTACTGAACACAGATTTAATAGATTTAATTTTCTTTGTGTTGCGTATACTACTGAACACAGTTTAATTTTCAACAAATACTAAGTGCTAACACCAAGGTCCATCTGTTATTCTAAATAGCATCACACTATGTAGAGTTGTAGAATGGTGCTGAATGATAAAGCTAACTGACATTCAGACAATGGGAAAAATCATAGCAAGAAGCATAAATTATTTATTCACTGATTTTCTCTGCATCGATTCTTTAATCACAGCAAGAAGCACATACATACTACAATTATAAAATCTCACGGATCTCCCTTGCTTATATGCACATCCAGTTTGCTTGAACAACTACTTAGAAAAAGAGGCACAACTTGACATTTGGGCAGCTATTTACAACTGCATACAACTCTGTTTCGCACAACAAGAATGGGGGAGAATGGGATGCAGATACCTGATGGGAGCTCGTCACCGGCAAAGGGCCCAATGGAGGCGGTGGCGTGGAGAAGAAGGGCTGCCATGTCGCGGATCTGGCCAGAGCTCGTTGTGATGCACATACCTGATGCACATACAAGGTTACAAGATGTGAACAACCTGAGCTACTAATTTCCAAATAAGGTAATCTGAATGAAAAAATAAACACCAAGGAAATTTCTAAACTCTACTTATCAACTACTTCACTATTAAGTATGCTACTAATCCATTGATCAACCATGTCCAGAAAGGCATAATTTAAAACATGATAACTGCTCCTTGTAGCCTTGTACCATTGTAGAGAAATACGAATGATTGCAAACTGCTTACCTGTTTGGCTTTATGTCATTGTTGACCTGATTATCCAGTTTCCAGCCCGTCTTTCTTATCATCTTCCATCTCACTATCTCTTCACTGTCCCTACAGATGCAGAGAATGAGACTACTATGTTGCATATAAACCATAGAATGTTCCACCAAATATGACATGAAGTGATCACAAAGGAGAAGGAATATGGAATTCATGAAAATATGTAGGCAATGCTGAATCTATGAATCTATTCTGTGATGACACATTCAGTAAAAAAATAAGTGCTAAAAATAGTTTACTTAACCACATTGATGCACAAACTCATGAGGTTTCCTTCTGTTAAGCAGCAGTTCCTAATCAATCAAACTACTAGTGTCTTTAGGATAGACTCACAGTGTTGAGGAGGCCTGGAGCTTTTTTCCCTCCCCGAATGAGCTACTGAATGTGCTGTGATGCCAATATTTTCCCTCCCCAATGAACTCCTAGCTTAGTTGTAGGATCAAATTTGTCTAATAATTAATTCGGAAGGGAGGAGTGGAAGGCCACGTAGATCTAGTAGCAGTACCTGAGCAAAAAAAAAGAATACATTGATTTGGTACCTCGCTCGTCGCCTCCATGCCATGGACCTGTGCAGAGAAGAGACGATGCCATGAGAGAGGGGTAGTGGGAGGAAGGGGATCGGAGCTTGCCTTGCTAGATGCCGGGGATGTTGTGGTAGCGGCATCCGCGGTTTGTCGACCTCGACAATCCCCATGGGAGGAGCAGGGTCACGCAACAGCGACAGGCACTGCGTGGGAGCTGGGGGGCCGCGCATGTCGCCGGGGGCTGGGGGAGTCATGCACGATGCCAGGGGGTAGGGGGGGTCGAGATCCGCCTCCTCCGCCATCTCCTCCGGGAGCAGCATCTGGATCTCGTCGTGGGCAGGCCCATGCTCCGGATCTGGTGGCGCGAAAGGGAGCAGCACGGACAACGTCACAGTCTGGCCAGGGGGTGGCCAGCCCAGCCAGGGCCTCTACGGCGGAATGGGCAGCAGTGGTCGTGTGGCACACAGCTGCGGCCTACCCGGTAGCCTGGCGGTGCGCCCATCCATCCTCGGCCATCGGCGGCGGCGGCCGGCATGGCTAGCGAAGCCGGCTAGGGCATGGCAGCCTGCCTAGTGCAAGGGCGCGCGATGCGGGGAGGAAGAGGAGGGGGCGCTGGTGCTGCACGAGGAGAAGCTGGGAGTAGGGAGGTCGCCATGGGAGGAGCAGCAGGGAACGACGTCGGCGTCGAGAGAAAGGGAGCCCACGAGAGCGAACACCGAGACTCCGAGAGAGACCATGGGGCTTGCACGAGATATTTAACTTTTTACCATCATAACGGATGGCACCTCCTCAAATAGCAGCTTTAGGTTTGGCGCTATGCTTTTAGCAGCAGAGAGAGAAAAACGATATACATTTA